TGCGTCGAGGAAGAGCGGGAGGTTCTAGCCCTGCCTGGGTTTTTAAGCAGAGGAGCTTTTCACGGAAGAGAAAGCAGACTGCTCGCCCCCTTCCCCAGATCTTTACACACGCAAGCCCGGCCCGCCTGCCCCAAACTGCAAATCCTCCAGTCGCTCACGTGGAGGAGCATCGACGACTTCCGTCTTTTCGGAGACATCCTTCTCTCCCTCTGTCATGAGGGCTACCGACTTGACCAGCTCCGCACGCACTAATCGACCCAACAAGATTCCTGCACAGCCCGGCTCGATTCGAGGACGGGGCGCCAGCGGTTGCTCCAGCAACGCTCGATCCGTCAGTTACTCGCCCAGGTCCTAGTGAGCAGGCTCCGAGGCCTCGGCTGCTTCATTCTGCCCGCACACGGATTTCTTTAAGCAAAGCAGTCTGATATATATCCATTTACCAGGACCGTGGCCCGTGGTATCATTAGGTCCACCAGGCCTCAGAAGGGTGCAGAACGGACTGACCTTTGAAGGGCACAGTTTTACACAGATTACTTAGCCTTGCAATTTAAAATAAATTTAATAGTTTCATGTTTTGTGCTTTTCGTTTTTTTTTTCCTGTCAGACATCTTTTTTTCTTTTTTTAACCGGTTAGAAAGTTGGTGGTGGTGTGTGCATGCAAGTAGTTAGCCTTTCCCTAGAGCACAAAACAGCCCTGCAACCACTGGCTATATGCCTGAGACTTTTCTAATCCCTGGATTCAGCAAATGTTGAAATCTAAGCAAGGTTTCATACCTGGAATAGCTGTTCTAGCTTCATGGTGAGGTAATGGCCTAATTATGTGCCCTTAAGGTAACAGAATTAGGGATGTGGGTGGTGCTGGGACGCGGGTGGCACTGTGGGTTAAACCACAGAGCCTAGGACTTTCCCATCAGAAGGTTGGTGGTTCGAATCCCCACGGCGGGGTGAGCCCCTGTTGCTCAGTCCCAGCTCCTGCCAAACTAGCAGTTCGAAAGCATGTCAAAGTCCAAGTAGATAAATAGGTATTGCTCTGGCGGGAAGGTAAACGGCGTTTCCGTGCACTGCTCTGGTTCGCCAGAAGCGGCTTAGTCATGCTGGCCACATGACCCGGAAGCTGTGCGCCGGCTCCCTCGGCCAATAAAGCGAGATGAGCGCCGCAACCCCAGAGTCGGCCACGACTGGACCTAATGGTCAGGAGTCCCTTTACCTTTACCTTAAGGTAACAAAGAGGACGCGGGTGGCGCTGTGGTCTAAACCGCAGAGTTTAGGGCTTGCCAATCGGAAGGTGGGCAGTTCAAACTCCTGTGATGGGGTGAGCACCCGTTTCTCGGTCCCTGCTCCTGCCAACCTAGCAGTTTGAAAGCATGTCAAAGTGCAAATAGATAAATAGGTACCGCTCCAGCAAGAAGGTAAAACGGCGTTTCCGTGCGCTGCTCTGGTTCACCAGAAGCGGCTTAGTCATGCTGGCCACATGACCCGGAAGCTGTACCCCAGCTCCCTCGGCCAATAAAGCGAGATGAGCGCCACAACCCCAGAGTTGTCCATGACTGGACCTAACGGTCAGGGGTCCCTTTACCTTTAAGGTAACGAAGTGGCTCTGTGCCAGAAAACAAATGGGTGGGCCAACCTCCCTCAACTGGCTGGTAGTTAGAAAGACAAAGGCCAGAGTTGACAGTTGAGTGATGGGGGCTGAAAGGTAGAAGCAAGCTGTAGGCTGGGAAGCCAGGTAGTCAGAGCCATGCCTAATTTCTGTAGGAATCCAAGGCTGTGGCTATGGGAGAAGCAAGACTTTCTTGAGGTGTTAATGCTGTGAACCCCTCAATCATAGGCTCATGTTGTGTATATGTGTAAATAAACCATATTGCATAAAGACACCACTGTCTCCGTTATCCCTCATTCCAAAGGAAACCAAACCCTGGGTAAAAGCCCCAGAACTCCAGGAATCTCACACTGGTTTGGCATGTGTTTAATAGACATACATCTACAGCAAACTTAAAAAGCAACCATCTGTGTCTTACCAACCTATCTGGAAGAACATTTGATTTGCTTAATTGTATATCTTGTTTATTACATTTCCCCCATACTTTAATTTTCAATATATGTATGAATGGTAATTTCCAGGATATTCAACCAGTTGTCAGAGAGAAAACATAGAATTCTTTATTACTGCCTAATCCTCAGGCATATGTTTGGTTTGGACTAGTTTACATTCATATGAATAATATTGTTATTTAAGTTATGTTTAATTAATAATGGGGGGGGGGAGAGTTGTTGTTGTTTAGTCGTTTAGTCGTCTCTTTGTGACCCCATGGACCAGAGCACGCCAGGCACTCCTGTCTTCCAATGCCTCCTGCAGCTTGGTTAAACTCATGTTGGTAGCTTTGAGAACACTGTCCAACCACCTTGTCCTCTGTCGTCCCCTTCTCCTCGTGCCTGCAATCTTTTGCAATATCAGGGTCTGAAGGTGCCCTAAGTGGTTTTTGGTGATAACCGGGGTGGGGAGAGTCACTTTTAAAAAATGCTTCAATCTGAGTGCTCAGAAAAAAGAAGAAGAAAATATGAGTGCTCAGCTGTGTGTGAGCATTCAATTTAAGTAAGGAATGCATCTATTCTTTTGGGGAATGTTATTTACCAGGAACATTCTTAGCTCTATGCACAGGTAGATGGATAAGGCAAAAGTCAAGAGAATGAAGATGAATGAAAGGATAACTAGGAGCCACTCGAACACCTGGAGGTCTTGGCCAGGCTTCTCTGGAGGGGCTGAAAAGGACATATACATTTGGAAGTAAATATAATTCAATTATTTTTCTCTTTCATTCTCTCTCTTCCATACCCGGCAGGGAGGGAAATTTGTGATTGCTGTCACCATCTGCAGCGATCATGGAGCCCAAGAAAGTAAAGGACAAATGTTGAAAATCCAATGGGGGGCATTTTAACCTCCCACGACATTGTGTAACTGACTTTAAGGAACACAGGAACTTCAAAGTAAGACTACAACCATTGCCTTATAACTATTGTAAGAACAATCTTGTGGGCTCGAAACACCCCACCATGCAATTCTAAACTCATTTACTCATCAATAAGATAAGTTTAATTCGACTTACTCATTAGTAAGCGTGTAGGATTGCAACATGTTGGTCTCACATCAAAGTTTCATTAAAGTGTGACCCCAAAATTTTGGATCCCCTCCCAACTGATACCAATGTTTTGTGCTCATTTTGTGCTGCAAACCATGTGTTTTGTGCCATCCCCCAATGGAGTACTTGATACTCAACCCAGGGTTATAAATTGACATCCCAAAATCCAATTTTTTTATGATTTCCTTCAAACTGATGCCAAAGTTTTGTCCTAGTTTTGTGATGTAAAGTAAGTGGTCTTTCCTGTCCTGCCCCCCCCCCCCGCATCTGCTGTGATCCACAGAAAATCTTAGCAATACAGTACAAGCTTTTAAATGTTTGTTTAAAAAAGAATTTATTGTAATCTTGTGAAATAAAAAGATACATATACATATAACAAGGTGGGGGGAAAGGCACAAGTCTTGAATGGCAATTCCTGCATGGATAAGATTGGAAAAGATGGAGGGGGGCAGAAAGGGGCTGTTGTTGCTTTTTTTGCTATTATTTTTGTTAACATTTATGATTACAAGGATTTGGTTGGTTAAGTTCGGTTGATTGCAGTGTGTGGCTTGTTTGTATGTTTGGGGGGGGGGAGTAAGGTTGGGTCAAGTTAACCACACTGATGTGGGTCATTGTCTTGTTGTGCAGCTACGTGATAAAGGGGAACCTTTATTGGAAAAGGTGGGGTGGGGAGATCTATTTTTGTTATCGTGTATGATTGCAAGGATGTAAACATGTGCTTATAAAGTAAGGGTTCAGAATCTCTCTCCTCGCCCCCCTTGACTATGGAAATATATAAGTGAGGGTTTTAAAACAAAACGGGACGGGAAATCTGCGACGATGAGGTTCAGGATAACGTGGATGCTGCTGCAACAATGGAGGAAGGGGAAGGCTGCTCTGAGCTATACATGCACCGTTATGTCAAGAGAGAAACACCATTCCCTTACTAGATTTGAATATGAAAAGCCCTTAAGTGCCGGAGCACATAAAACATATAAAAACCTTGCCTCCGAGAAAAAGAAAAATAGAAAGCCCGGCCGCGAGCAATCCCCGTCATGTAATTAAAAAAGAATCTGTGCAGCTCCGGTGAGAGCGTCTTACCTCGACGCCATCTTCCTCCCTCCACCCCAACCCCCTCCTTACTATTATTAAGACTGATTGATTGAATTTTATATACCGCCCTATACCCGGAGGTTTCAGATTGATGGGATTAAAGGAAGACAAAACTATTAATGAGCTATAAGGAAGCAAATTAAAATTTGGACTGTTGGATCGTTGGACAATTTATGATGGAGAGGAATTAAAAGCAAACCGGCCAGAAAGGAGCAGATTTTTTTGCACAGAGAACTGGAAAGTCTAACGGTGGGGCAAATCTGCTCGAGTGCCTCGGATCACGGGGAGAGGCTGTAATAAGAACTTGAACTGTGAAGGAGAAAGTGGTTACCGCGCCCCGCCCCGCCCCGCCGCCGCCGATTATGGGCTGGGTGGAAAATGCACCAAGCGAGATGGTCGACCTTTGAGTTCTTGCTGTAAAAAAGAAAAGAAAAAGACCCCCGTTTACATGCGACGAGGGACAAGGGAGTTGAGCAGCAAGAAGATTATACACGCAGATGAAAGGAGAGGATTTTTTATTTAATGTTATATAATATTGTTCAATAATTCAGCAGGGACTGATAATCTGATAAGTAACCTCACTCCCTGAAATTGGAAATGTTAATTTAATATATGTGCAGGAATTGATTGATGGATAGCTGTTTGAAAAGGAGTTGTTGTTTTTTTAAAGAAAATATAATGTACTGGAAGGTTATTTGTAATGTTTGAAGACAAACTAGAAATAATTGAGGAATATGATGCAGCACTAAGAACTATTGACATATCCAGGAGGGTGTGCAGGAAGTCAGATTTGGAAAAATGTTAAACTGGTTTTTCTTTGGAAAAATGTTAAATTTGTTTCAGTTGGTGGCCGGTTCGTAAATAAAATTGAAAATCAGTAAAAAAGATTTGGCAAAAAAAAAAAACCCTAGAACCCTGAAATAATAATAAAAAATGGTCAACAAGAGCATACATACACACATACAATCAGTGTTCTGGAAAATAGCACCAACCATTTGAGGAGCGTCCAATTGATGTGCAATTGCTGACATGCGGGTCCGGCAGAACGGGGGAAGACATGCTCATGTGTGTGTGTGCCACTGGCAAAAGTGGGCAATTGATGCGAGATAAACAAAGGATGGAGGTGTTAACAGTTGTATATCAAGGTATCGAAGTCACCACAATTTTTTGGTTCGAGGGCAGAGGTGTCTACTTGGCATAATCAGTGGGTCTCTTTCGCAGATGACAGCCGTTCGTGGAATCTTCTGTTTCCGGAGTTGCTGTCTTCCGCAGAGGATGGTTGTAGTTCCAGATCCTCTGATCTTGACCTTGCTGGTTTGCGGCCACTGCAAGTGATCTGTACTGAGGCGAAAGGGACTAATTTCAGCAATGTAAAATCCAAGTAGCCCACTAGATTTCTTTGTTCAGAACTCACAGCATGAGCTGTGGTGTAGCGTGGGAGGGGCATGGGGGACATGGCCCCAGGTGCAGAACATGGGGGAGCCCCCCGTGAACCGGATAGCCCTCCCCCCCCATTCTCGCGCCCTGCCAGGGGTGGGGGCTGATGGCTGCGGAGGGTGAAGATCTCTGCGTGTCCTGCCATGTGTGTCCTGCATTCCCAGCCGCAACTCCTCCTTCCCTGGGTCAGGAAGGAGGGTAGCTGTGGGGCACCCAGCTGAGGCTCCCCCTTCCCTGGGTCAAGGCTGACCTGGGGGCAGAGAGCAGCTACGGTGTCCAAACCACCATCCGGGACAGTAGTGCCCCCTAGGTATAGGTAAAGGGACCCCTGACCATTAGGTCCAGGCATGGCTGACTCTGGGGTTGCGGCGCTCATCTTGCTTTACTGGCCGTGGGAGCCTGTGTACAGCTTCCGGGTCATGTGGCCAGCATGACTAAGCTGCTTCTGGCGAAACCAGAGCAGTACCACAGTACCACCTGCGTCTCACAGTGCCCCCTAGCCCTCCCTCAAATCAAATTAAAAGCAGTTAAAAGCCACCTTGAAAATGACACGCAACACAACATTCCTAAAATCTGTGTGTGTGATGGTAAATTGATGCCCACCCCCCGTGGCATATTACCAGACGGGTGGTGCAGGAAATGCACCAGGCAGTAGAGCCTATGGAATGGAGAAAGAGTGCCTGTCTTGGGGCCAGAGGGTTGTTGGCCCTTTAAAGGCTTTGAAGTTCTAACAATCTGTGTTGTCCCATCCTTCTTCGGACAGAGCTCATAAGGGCTTGTCCACAGCTCCGTATGAGCCACCCGCACCCGTGTTTTCTACGCACGGGACAAGGGGACGTGTGGATGAGCCCTGAGATCCCAAAGGTGGTGTAAACATGAGGGCAGGGGAAGTAGTCACTTTAAACAGAATGTATTTACAGCTGGGTTATGCAACAAAACGTTGCAGTCTGGAGTGCTGCCCTTCGGGATTACAACCACTCCATTCCTATCCCGCACTCCCTGCCAAGCATTCAACCTTCCATGGCTGAACTCAGTCCTCTTTAGGCTACTTTTTGAATCACACCCCTACGCCAAGGTGGGTGTTGTTGTTGTTGTTGTTTTTAAATCAAAATCAAAAAACAATAACAACAATTATTCTGTGCTTCTGTAATCCTTGGCCTTACGGTCTTGCAGGCAATGCATTCCTTCCAGGCTTACCTTCTTTCCCGGGCAGGAGATTTCAGAGGGTTTGTGCAGCCTGCTGGTGGCATTCCATGTCAGGACCCAAGGCACAAAGGCATGAAACTGCCACCAGCGGACCCAGCATGGATGTTGGAAGTTCCAGGGAGGGCTGAGGAGAGACCCAGAGAAGTTACTGTTAGGACAAGAAGCCAGCATATAGGCAGTGCTCTGGTTCACTAAATGTTGTTAGACTGTCGTCATCACCACCACAAGAGAGTGGCTGAAAACAGTGCTTTCCTCCCTAAAAAATATGTTTAGGGGTACCTCATTTTCCTACTCATATTGAAATACTGCCCTCAATGATGCCAAACTTAGATTCACAAAATGTTTAGCGGTATGTGTACACCTGAATATATATTCAGCACTGGCTGAATATATATTTTTCTTTTTCTGTCTCTTCTTTCCATGTTAAACTAGATTAGAGGGGGCCAGCCTCCCCCCAGAGTTGATGAGCATTCCCATTCAAATGGGTGTGTGTGTGTGTGTGTGTGTGTGTGTGTGTGTGTACTGTGTCATGTGATCAAGTATGTGCCCCCCCCCTATATTTCATTCAATTTGGCACCCCTAACTATATATAATACTAACATTTCCTTTAGAGCCTTCATTATTCTCTGCCAAAAACTTGCCTTTCTTTGACCTTTGATAGCTATTTGCCAAAGTTTGTGATTCTGGACCCTAGAGGTAAGTCCGCTAGAAATGTCAACATTCACTTACAGCCAGAAGTTTGTCAGATGCCATCTTGTCAACAAAATAAGCAAAGATCACCACAGCAGATCTCTCTAAACCCTGTATGTGCTGAGGATACAAGAACCTCAAGAACCTCAGTTCAAACGGACACACATTTCGTTGCTAAGCAATGGCTGTTGGTGACATCAAATGCACAGCCACCACACCAAGGTTCTACAAGAGTCAGTGTGGCATAGCAGTTAGTGTTGGACTAGGACCCGGGATACTAGGGTACAAGTGTCCAAGGACTCAGTCTTGAGCCAGTCGTCCCCTCTCAGCCCAACCTCCCTTGCAGGGTTGTTGTGAGGATAAAATGAGAAGAAGGAGAAATAGGTATGTCACTTTGAGCTCCTTGGATGAAAACTGGGATATGAATGTCTTAAAACAGATCAATAAACATAACAGCCACGCAGTATTCCTTAAACTGCATTTTGTACCTGATGTTCATCTATGCTTGTTGTACAACTAGATTGACAGTATCACTTCCAATTTGCCTGACTTGGGACACAGCTGCAAGATTGAAAGTTTTTGTTTTAGCTTAACCACAATCTTGCATGTGAACAGACTGGCTTCATAAGGACGCAGACTTGGTTCAACCACGCTCTCCTGTATCTAGGATTATTTCATGTTGCTAAATACCTGGGACATGCTCATCAGCAAATAGGCTTGCAATGTATTCAGAGCCACACTGTCTGTCTCTGATGCTGGGGGCTACGTACACGAGTGTTAAAACACATTGAGGTCATTCATAAAATGATAGAACTGTAGAGTTGGAAGGGACCCTAAGGGTCATTTTGTGCAACCCCTTGTAATGTAGGAATCACAGACCATTTGCCCCTTGGTGTGTTTCAAGTCACTTTTTAATGTTGCTGTACACACAACATAGAGGCCCTTCTTCCTGTGATTCCTCCATGAGAGGTCCAGAGGATGACAACATGAGAACGGGCCTTTTCTGCAGTGGCTCCCCACTTGTGGAATGCTTTCACTAGGGAGGCACCAGGCAAAAACATTTCTCTCTTCCCAGGCCTTTATCCATGGCCTTTTAAAATGTGTGTGTGGTATTGTTTTTGTTTGTTACTATGGTGTGTATTTTTGTGTTTTTATATTGTAAACCACCCTGTGATCCTCAGATGAAGGACAGTATTGAAATTTTAACAACAACAACAACAACAACAACCTGATTTGTTCCACCACACCAAACTCCTTTTAAACAAAACTGGCATCTGAGCATGTGCAACGGTTGTACACACCTCCGGATGGAAGATTAGGTTTGAGGGGAATTGCACCAAGCAGCAGTATTTCCCAAGCCATTATAGGACACCTAAGAATTGTAGGTAAGATCATTTGTACTTGGCTTCAAACACCAGCAGTGGGAGATTACTGGGTGCAAACAATAATGTGTGCTCTGCTTAAGTTGCTGGCCACCACCGCATCTTGTGATAGGAAGTTTCATAGTTAAAACATGCCCTATACTGATTCGCCCATCATTCAGGTTCTTTGGATGGTTCTTCAAATATCTCTCTGTGTGTATTGGGCTGCAGGGAGGTAGGAACAGAGGAAGCTGCCTTAGACTGCATATGCACTCCCATTTACTCTGCATCCAGTGCATCCCACAGCTTTTTGGAGAGGCAGTATACATACGTTAGCCACAATTCATATTCCTCCTCGTGTTTCTTATGAAATACTGCATCTTGATATGGTTTTTTTTCTCTAAACCTGCTTCCATCTGGATTGGGAAAAAGAATGACCTTGTTGTATTTTAAGCTGGTAATGTCTACACAGCTTTTTATAGACCGAACTGGTCTATCTACCTCAGTACAGTCTACAGCGACTGGCAGTGGCTCTCCAGGGTTTCAGACAGGAAGTCTTCTCCAGCCCTACCTAGAGATGCCAGGGGTTGAACCTGGGACCTTCTGAATGCAGCCTATAAGGCCCTTAGAGCCAGTGTGGTGTAGTGGTTAAGAGCGGTGGACTCGTAATCTGGGGAACTGGGTTCACTTCCCCGCTCCTCCACATGCAGCTGCTGGGTGGCCTTGGGCTAGTCACACTTCTCTGAAATCTCTCAGCCTCACTCACCTCACAGAGTGTTTGTTGTGGGGGAGGAAGGGAAAGGGGAATGTTAGCCGCTTTGAGACTCCTTAGGGTAGTGATAAAGCGGGATATCAAATCCAAACTCTTCTTCTTCTTCTTCTTCTTCTTCTTAGAAATCAGAAATGGGACAAAGGGGGACAAAAGGGAGATGCGCAGATGACTAAGAATACAGGGTTAAAATCAGTAACTTTATTCCTGTTTGGGAAGAGAAGTGAAAAAACAAAATGTAAAAAAAACCCTCTGCTAACAAACAATTAAATTAATGTTCCTTTGTCCAACACTGCATTGCACTTTTAAGAAAATCTGGGCTCCTGAGAAACAGCCCCTCGTCCTGCATCTATATCCCCAGTTAACGTTTTGTTCCAATGAGACATTGCAGCATATCCAATGGCAGCGGAAATATAATGGTAGAGTTCTTCTCAGCAGCGATAGTGGTCAGAGTCTGTAGGTAGCGAAGCTGGAGGGCTGCAGGAGACTCTGTGATCACTATGGCGGCTTCCTTCAAGGCCAGGGAGGAGTTCCTTTCACCTTCTGCTGCAATCACCTAGAAGGGAAGAAATTCCAGGTAAGGAATTTGGAGTTTTACATCAGTGTGGTCTTATGTAATAGCTGCACCCATTCCTAAGTAAGTCAGACCTAGTCACAGAGATACATGCCACAGGCTAGGAATGAACTCATTCAGTTGAATGGCTCTCACCTTATTTCATTAATGAAAGCTAAGTCTGTTAGACATCTATAAAGAAAGTTAGAAAGCAAAAATGTGGAGGCAATGTTCTAAGGCTTATTAGGCAGCTGTGGAGGTGCTGCCATGATTAAGGACACTATAGTCAATCACTGTTGCTAGGCAATCAGAAGGAATGTGAGACATTTCCTCTATCTTCCCCACCTGAAAAGAATCATTATCTTCCAACAGGAGTTGCTCACAGCAAAAAGTACAGGTACAGGAACAAATAAATGACACCTTGTGCCTTTAATGGCTGTGTGACTAGGAAAAAATGTAACAGTATGGAAATAGACTTGTGGGAAACGGAAGCTTGGAGGGCCATATTTGGCCCCAGGGCCTGAGGTCCCCCAACCCTAATTTAAAGTCATAGACCCCAGGTTAATAGCCCTACAATGCCAATGTTGGCCTTTACTGTACTTCCTACTGCCCCTTTGCTGTCTTCTGGGTGATGAACTTTCTGGAAAGTCACCAGCTAAACCAAATCTATAGAACTCCTGTACCTTTGCTCTTGCTTCGCGGGTAGCTTCTGCTTCAGCAGCCATGGCTCTCTGGAGTTGGATGGGCAGCTTCACATCTTTGATCTCTACCCGCTCCACCTTTATGCCCCAGTCATCTGTGGCTTCATCTAATGTGATCTGTTTATTAAATATATATAGATATGCAGGAATGCACTTGTCCATCAAGATATTATTATGCAAGAGGTCAGGCTGGGCCAATGGAGGTCACAGAAGCTGGGATAAAAACAGGGAACTATATTAACCCCATGGGTCAAATGGCTATCTTTCCCCCAGTCCTCCTGGACTACAGTTATGTCAGGTGACCTTTTTGCCCTTCAAAATCCCCTTCTGAAGCTCTGTTTGGAGTTGCACTTTGAAAAGGCCCGCAAGAGCATAAGATGAATCTGCTACATCAGCCAGTGTTTCATCTTGTCTAGCATCGAGGCCAACTAGATGCAGTGGTGGAGCTTCTTGCTCTGGCACTGGGGGTGGAGAGCAGGCAGGGGCGTGGCTGTCGCACGTCCCGGGGGCGTGGTGCACAGCCTGCAGGGGCATGGCACATGTCCTGGGGGCATGGCGTGGAGGGGCAGCTGTGATGGCACCCCACCGGGATCATGGTGTTGGTGGCGGTGCTCTGCCCCTGCCCCCCTTCTTCCTCTGCCAGTGACTAGATGTCTTAGCCCACAAGCAGGACATGAGCACAACAGCACTCTGCCCACCTGCAATTCCCAGCATCTGGTATTCAGAGGGAGATTATCTCTGACAGTGGAGGTAGAACATAGCCATCAAGGCTAGCAGCCGTTTATAGTTTTGTCCTCAATGAATTTGACTAATCCCTTTTCAAAACCATCCAAGTTGGTGGCCATCACTGCTTCCTGTGGGAGCAAGCTCCATAGTTTAACCATGTGGTGCATGAAGAAGTCCTTTCTCTTATCTGCCCTGCATCTTCCAACATTCAGCCTCATTAAGGTCAACTCCTGTTGAGTGCTTTAATTCCAAACACCAACAGAATGCTACTGTTAGATTATATAGTTCCATCTCCAAGTAACGTATACCCTTCACACTATAGATAGACCAGTGCTTATAATCATGCTTATAATCCAAATACAGTTGTTGTTTATCAACAAGCAGTCACATTCCAGCATTTCATGCATCTGAAATTAATTAAAAAACACGCCGTGTTCTACATGCTTTCTGCTCGTCCCGACATATAAGTCAAAGCTTTTTTTGTTAGTCATATCCCCTCAGAACAGACTTTCAATTCCATACTCCAAATGGGGACGTGAATCACCCCACAACTCAGCCGTTGCTGTCATACCTGCATGCTGTGGGCGATTTCCTCCCGGTCAGAGAGGATCTGAGAGAGGCTCTTGGTCCCAAGAACGTTCCTCAGCGTGGTCTGAGCCAGGAGCCGAGTGGCTGAGTCCGCATAAGCAACATTTGTCACAGAGAGGATGGCGTTCTGAACTCGGTAGTAAACCACACCGTCCACAAGAACCGTCACCGAATCTTTGGTAAGAATCTAGGGTAGAAGCAGGAGGAGTTACAAAATAAACCAATGAGTCAAAGCATGTTTCTAGTAGCAGCTGCTAAGAACATGTCAGGAGGAACCAACTGCAAGCAGATGAGTTATTAGACAATGATTCTATCTGGTATTCAAAAGAGATGAAAGAGGTCAAGGACCAGAAACACTTACTTCCTGGGGGGCTATATCAAATGACACAGTCCTCATGTCCACTGTGACAACATTGTCTATGCAGGGCAGGATTAAATAGATACCTGCAGGAAAAGAAATTATAACCACCACTGGAGACGTTGGTTTGCACAATTATAGTGAATTAATGCACTCTGTCCCCCTTGTTCAACAAACCTGCTAACTTCTTTTCCAGTTAGTAAAGTGACAGGGAAATGCATTGAAAACTGTCACACCATATATTAGCGCACAGCCAACCCTGAAGAATCCTGGGAGCTGTGGTTTACCCTCTGCAGAGCTGCAAACCCCAGCATCTTTAACAAACCACAGTTCCCAGGATTCCTTGGGGGAAGCCACGTGCTTTAAATTAATTGTGTGGACCTGACCTAAACGAGATGGTCCTTGGAATCATGGGTAGGCCAATGGCAAGGGTAAAAGAGAGGAGAAACTTGCAGCAAAATCCTGTTGTATGCTAGAACATAATATAATACTCACCTGGGCCTTTTGCACCTTTTAGGATGTGTCCTAGTCTAAAGATGACAGCTCGCTGATATTCCATGACAATCTGAAATGGAGGGACAGCGGGGAGTCACATGTAATATCCTAGAGAGTTTTTGCCACCCCACACGTTTCAGATTATACATTCCCACCAGTGGCTGGAGAGCAAGAGGAGCTGGGGCAACCACAGAGCACATAAAACTTTTACCAGCCCCCTGCTCTGCTTTTGCTGCTGCTCCCTCTTGAAAGGAAGGGACACACAGCAGCTGCCCTTGACATCACACTTCTTGGTGGAGTGGGGATTTTCAAAATTATTGTGAATTATTTTGGGACTATGGAGGGCGCTGTTAGTCTTTTTATTTTTATGTATTAGTAAGTGGGAATATTTCTTTATTGTTTACATACTGCTAACTTTTTCCTATTACTATTATGTGTGTGTCTTGTTTTGTTTTGTTTTGTCTTGTCTTGTTTCCCTAATAAATTGTATGAAACAATGTGTTATTTGATTGCCACCACTTTTCTATGGTGTAATGTATTTATGCATATACATTTCTTCAGTGTAAGTTGCTTTGAGACCTTTTGAGTGATAAGTGCTTAATAAATAAAATAATAATAATAATAATAATAATAATAATAATAATAATAATTTAATAAATGCAAATTGTATTTGCAATGTCCATGCTTGCTGTTTACAGGGTAGAACAGCTGTCCCAGAAGTTTGAATAATGAAACACGGTGACTTTTGGCAATGCTTGAAGCTGGGTTATGCAAGCAGTGGGGGCTGGTGCCCATTAAGACTGGTGGGACAGAATACAGGGAGCCCAACAGCAAGTAGCACCAGAACCAATGACAGGTGAGGCCATTCTATCTTCTTTTGAATTCTGCAAGGGCAATACTGAGATTGAAGAGGAGTATGTTGACAGGCCGTGACCCCCCCCCCCCCAGTAGAAATGCAGTGGTACCTTGGTTTGCAACCATTTTGGATAACAACCACGTCAAACCCGGAAGTGCGTGTCCCTTTTTTAATACAACCCCCTTTTTTTCCTTTTTGGATTTCAACCCATTTTTTTGGAGAGGCCCCATTAGCGAAAGTGCACCTTGGGTTACAACCTGTTTTGGTTTGCAACCAGACTTCCGGAACAGATTATGGTTGTAAACCAAGGTACCACAGTAAAGAAGAAGACAGGCAGGTCCCATTTGCCCTAATGGACCATTCAACCCCTAGCAACCATAATAGCAGCGTAAAATCTCAGAAGCAGGACTGCTTCCCAATGAACTCTCTTCTTCTTCTTTACCTCAAAGCAGAGAAATGCAGACAAAGGAAAGGTCACAAGGAAGAGCAAGAACGAAAAGCAGACCAGGATCCAGCCACATGCCCCAAGGTCGCTGCTGGAGTTCTCTAGAGGTGAGGAGAGGCACACACATTTGGAACATGTATATAGTTATCTTATTTCTGCTTGTTAAAAAAGAAAAGCAAAAATTCTGCAGCCAGAAGGGGAAAAAACAATGGTTGTGATCACTACAAAAATAAAACATTTGCCTGGGAAAACTTCTGGCCTTCCAGATATTATTATTACTGATTATCCTCCCTGCACCCAAAGGACCCAGGGTGAGTTACTACAGTTAAATCAGAATATTTAAAAAAATAATTTAAGCAACTTACAGAAATAAGGTGGGTCCTAAAAATACGCATCGTGGGTGTCAAAAACTGTTGTCAGATTCCAACTCCTAGCAGCCACAGGGAGGTCCACACGCTGCAGGATGAAAGCAAACGCCCTTCCCCGTTGCCTGTCCCTTAGTAAGGCAGACTGCTCTTTTACATGGCAGTTCCATTTAGCCACCATAGCTATTTACTCATTTTTAAAGCGTTGGCTTCCACCTTCATAAATCTGCCTCACCGTTTAACCTGGCGATCTCCCGCTTCTCCCGGGCGCTCATCCCCTTAACCTCCACCAGGACACCGACCGACTTGCCCAGCTTGGCGGTTTGCTGCAGCCCCAGAGCAACAGGAGCTCCGGATCACAGCCCCGCTCCAGCTTACTCGCGGTCGACGGCGGTTGCTCCACCAACGCTCGATCTGCCTCTCTTTCTTCCGCCCAGCCCGACGGCCCCTGACGACCCCCGACGGCTCCTCCTGGGTCCGCACTACACGTTGTCCCCTTGGCAGAGGGAACGCGCGACAGTCCGGCTTTGCGTTCGCTTTAAAGCCCCATATTAGAAAGCGTATAGACGGCGCTCACTGAGCGCTTTGCCCCATGGAATCCACTGGGGAAGCAAGGCCAGTCATTCAGCCGCCAAGGGTGCAAACCTCAAAGGGGGCACAGTTTTATAGAGATGCGTTTTTGTTATATCTTATAAATTTCTGACAACGTTTTTCTTTTTACCTTTTGAAGAATTTCATCATATCTACCCGTTTTTGGAAATTGAAGTTAGAAAAGCGGGGGCGGGCGGGCAGGCGCAAGTACCGGTACTTAGCCTTCCCTAGGGCGCAAAATAGTCTGGCGCCGGCGCTGCTGAGATCTTGGTTAACACGCGCTGGATCGCTCAGGTTTGCTTACTTGGGAGTGCAGCCCCTCTTGGGGCTTCCTTACTTCCTAGTAAACGCGCACAGGACTGGGCTGTAACAACAACTGTGGGGACAGGATGCTGGGCCTTTGGCCTAATCCAGTGGACTCTTCTTATGTCACTATTTTAACAAGGCAATCCTATGCATTCTATTCGGAAGTAAAAACCTCATTAATGGGGTTTAATCCAAGGTACAAGACTTCAATCTCTTCATCTCCACCTGCAGTGCTAATAGTCATGAATGGCAATTGCGTCCACCTGAGAGGTGCCGGAACTGAGTTCCTGTGAGTTCCCCCTTTAAAAAAGCTCCTGCCCGCCAGCCCCCCCCCCCATCAGAGCAGCCAGTTTAAACTGCTTAGAGCATGGTTAGGCAAACTAAGGCCCCGGGGGCCAAATCTGGCCCAATCACCTTCTAAATCCAGCCTATGGACAATCAGGGAATCAGCATGTTTTTACATGAGTAGAATGTGTGCTTTTATTTAAAATGCACCTCTGGGTTATTTGTGGGGCATAGGAATGTGTTCTTTTTTCTTTTTTTTTTCCTTTTCAAAATATAGCCCGGCCCCCCACAAGGTCTGAGGGACAGTGGACCGGCCCCCTGCTGAAAAAATTTGCTGACCCCTGGCTTAGAGCACTGGTTCTCAATGCTTGTGGCAGGAGAGGGAGGCAAGGAGAGGGTGGGAAGATTCAAGGACAAATAAACATTTTAACATTTCACTGTAGTGCAGTATTGCATCAAAATGTTTATTTTATTTGCAGAATATGGATAAATGTCTTTTCAAAATGAGAGCAAGATCATCAGGTGATACTGAGGACAATCCTAGTTGTGATCCAGAATCACTCTTTGAACACAGTGGAGAAGACTTACTTAATTTGAAACATATTTAAGGTGCTTATATAAAAAGATCATTTATCATTATAGTTTGGGAATGACTCATGTTCTTTTGTAGCTGCATTGTGGCATCCACTTTCTAGATGTCCTGTGATCCTGTTATAAAGTAGTTGTGTTGTAGATTATAAATCAAGCAGTGCTGGGAGTTGTTTCTTTTCATTTCCCCAAGTATTTCGTATCAGTCAAAAAACTGGTGTGGTGTGTGAGCAATTTTTTATTCTGAAGGTGTTGCCTGGAGAAAAAAGTATGAGAAGCACTGGCTTAGATGGTTGTTTACGTATAACTTGCTGCTTAAATGGAATACTCAAGACGAGACTGTTAAATCAGCCATGATAAAATGGGCACAAGATATTGGGTACAACATTATGTTTGAAGACTGGGAAAGGTTATGGACCACCGGTATGAAATTTACGGCATGTAGTGCCTTAAAAGAAAACATTATGAAAATGATGTACAGGTGGTACATGACCCCAGTCAAACTTGCAAAGATATATCATCTGTCTGACAATAAATGTTGGAAATGTAAGGAGGCTGAAGGAACTTTCTTTCATCTCTGGTGGACTTGCCCGAGGGTGAAGGCTTTCTGGGAAATGATTTATAACGAGTTGAAAAAGGTATTCAAGTATACCTTTCATAAGAAACCAGAGGCCTTCCTCCTGGGCATTGTAGGCCAGAGAGTGCCAAAGAAAGATAGAACTTTCTTCTTATATGCAACTACAGCAGCAAGAATCCTTATAGCCAAATACTGGAAGGCACAGGAGTTACCCACGCTGGAAGAGTGGCATACGCAACTGATGGACTATATGGAATTGGCTGAAATGACTGGCAGAATCCGAGACCTGGGAGAAGAGGCAGTGGAAGAGGACTGGAAAAAATTTAAGGAGTATTTACAAAAACATTATAAGTTATATGAATGTTGAAAATTTGCTAAGTTTTGAGAAAAACATGCTTCCGTAGTGAGATTCGGAAATGATTGAAATTAAGTTATGATTGAGAAAAGTTCAAACTTCAGAGTAAATAATTAGATGAAAGTACAAAAACACATGAAACAAGGTATTAATTTGCTGTTCACTTTTATTGTAAAGAATGCAGGGATGGAGGATGTGGGGAAGTCCAGTAGATGATGAAAAAAAGATTTGGAAAAATGAATTTTCTTATATTTAAATTTTCTTTTTTCTTGTAAAACTGCTTTTGTTGTGTCATGGACGATGTATTCTGACCTTGGAAAATAAAGCAATAAAAAATTCTTTAAAAAAAAAAAAAATAGATGGTTGTTTACGTTGCTGCTGCTGCTGTGCAGTATATAAACGTTGTTATATAAAACTAAATAAACCAAGAGCGCTTTAAAGACTAACAAATTTATTGTTTTTGTGGGCTGGATTCTAGACATCAAAAAGTATTGTGTTGTTATTATCAGTTATATTATGATCAGTTAAATTTGTATCCGGCCCTTTCTCTTTAAAGCAGCCTAGGACAGCAAACAGGGACGCAGGTGGCGCTGTGGGTTAAACCACAGAGCCTAGGACTTGCCGATCAGAAGGTTGGCAGTTCGAATCCCCATGATGGGGTGAGCTCCCGTTGCTCGGTCCCTTCTCCTGCCCACCTAGCAGTTCGAAAGCACATCAAAGTGCAAGTAGATAAATAGGTACCGCTCCGGCAGGAAGGTAAATGGCGTTTCCGTGCGCTGCTCTGGTTCGCCAAAAGTGGCTTAGTCATGCTGGCCACATGACCCGGAAGCTGTATGCCGGCTCCCTCAGCCAATAAAGCGAGATGAGCGCCGCAACCCCAGAGTCGGTCACGACTGGACCTAATGGTCAGGGGTCCCTTTACCTTTACCTAGGACAGCAAACATCAAAATGCTAGAGCAATGCAATTTAAAGCAAAATAAAAACGTATATTAAACATTTTATAACAATGCAAAACTATTTTCTTAAAAAACTACTTAGGACATCTAAAAACATCTAGAAGCAATCACCTGGCCTCACAGTTATTAATTTCAAGTTTGCTGTGGCCAGTATCCAACAGTCACCAAATGCCTGGGTAAACAGGAATGTTTTAAAATTCCTCCTGCTAGCCAATAATGCACCTCACCAGGGAGGACATTGCACAATGGGAAAACACCACTGAGAAGGCTCTATAGCAAGTCAACACTAGTGATCAGGGGTTACTTTGATCCCCCCCCCACTTCTTTGTACAGGATCAGGACATTTCCCAACAAATGCAGTACTGATGGAGATAACCAGGGATTGAACCTAGGGCTATAAGAATACACTGCAGATGCTCTACCACTGATGTAGCTCACTTTCCCTTACATATAGGAACTTAGGGAGCTGTCTTATACCAAGTCAGACTATTGGTCCATCTAGCTCAGTACTGCCTACACTGGCTGGCAGTGGCTGTCTGGGGTTTCTGACATGTTTCAGTCCTACCCAGAGAGGCCAGGCGTTGAACATGGGACCTCCTGCATGCAAGGCAGAAGCTCTGCCACCAAGCAAATAACCCCTTCTCTATCAAGCAGGGTGTGAATGCCACAACACTCCTGCCAAACATGGAGGTTCCACTTGTCCTGATTTAGAACTATAAATCTGACCTCTTCTCTTTTCAATTAAGTTGCGTAATCCTTTAAAAAGATAAAAAAAGTTGTCCAAGCTATTAACAACCAGCAGTGTTTCCATCAAGTAATTCTCATTAGAATCCAGTGGTCCACTATGAGAATGGGATGCTGGATTAGACCTCTGCCTGCATCCAGCAGGGCTCTTCTTTCCAACTCTCCCCAGAAGGTGGCAGTGCAGGACTATGTTTTAAGAGGATAAGTGTAAGCAAAAGGCACATGATGCTTCCTGACTTCCAGTTGTCATCTTGCTGGCTGTGCAATTGCACTAAAACAGAAGTGTGGGGACCAGCAATGTATAGGCAACCCTACATTGTGGGGGACGGGGACGGACGGACGAGATGACCCTTAAGGCCATTTCCAATTCTACAATTCTATGATAATTTTGCTTAGGAGAGGAAGGGGGGAATTCTTTAAAGGGTGGGTCTAGCCTCCTTAGTTCTTATCTTGGCGGTCTCAGGTTTGTAACCAATGTTAGTCCTACTCAAAGAAGACCCAGCAGCAAGGATTACACCCAGCAGCCAGGCTCCCTAGTCACTTAAACTGGGTCTTCCCAGTGGCTCCCAGAATTAGCATGCATTTATATATGCATTTTAATAAAATTCACATTTCAGAACATAAGAAGAGTCCTGCTGGATCAGGCAAGTGTTCCATCTAGTCCAGGATCCTGTGGCCACCTAGATACCTGTGGAAAGCCCACAAGCAGGACCCAAACCGAAGCAGCACTCTTTCCTCCTGCAGTTTCCAGCAGCTGGTATAATAATAATAATAATTTATTATTTATACCCCGCCCATCTGGCTGGGTTTCCCCAGCAACTCTGGGCGGCTTCCAACAGAACACTAAAATACAATAACGTATTAAACATTAAAAGCTTCCCTGAACAGCGCTTCCTTCAAATGTCTTCCAAATGTCATATAGTTGTTTATTTCTTTGACATCTGATGGGAGGGCATTCCACAGGGCGGGTGCCACCACCAAGAAGGCCCTCTGCCTGGCTCCCTGTAACTTGGCTTCTTGCAGTGAGGGAACCGCCAGAAGGCCCTCGGTGCTAGACCTCAGCATCCGGGCAGAACGATGGGGGTGGAGACGCTCCTTCAGGTATACTGGACCGAGGCTGTTTAGGGCTTTAAAGGTCAGCAGCAACACTTTGAATTTTGCTCGGAAATGTACTGGGAGCCAGTGTAGGTCTTTCAAGACCGGTGTTATGTGGTCTCGGCAGCCGCTCCCAGTCACCAGTCTAGCTGCCCCATTCTGGATTAGTTGTAGTTTCCGGGTCACCTTCAAAGGTA